TTTTATATTTGTATTATTTTTAAAATTTTAAATAAATTTTGAAAAAATTTTCAAGTGTTTATTTGAACAAAACTAACTTTTCAATACATATATATGAATAAATATATAAATAAAAAACCATTAAAAAATATAAAAATGTTGTTAATTTATTTAATTTTCTTATGAAAATAGAGATTTACAAATTACAAGTTGTTCGTGGTGAACAACAAATACCAGGTGTGCCAGAGACATTGAGTCTCAATTGATGACAAAAGATTCCCGAGCTTCCTTACCATAGTTTACTCGAATATAAAAAGATATAAGGCTTTAGTAGAATAAGTGTTCGATTGTTATTAAAATGTAAAAAGATTATAGACCTAAAATTGAGAACTAAAAAGGACTAACAAATGTAAAATTGCAAGTCTTTGATTGAGTGTTGATTAGTTTCTTTTGTATTTTCTTCTTCTATTTATAGTGTCAGAATAGTGGTAGCCTCCTCCTTAAAACCTAGCACGTTTTGCCGAAGAATCAGGGATCTCATAAAACTCATGGTACGGTCTTTATTTCATGCTCTCTATTTTGATAACTAGCCCATTTCATCGAGATACTTGGGTATAGATTTTGGCACTGCTTAAGATCATGTCTTCGTGCTAATGATTTAATATTTACAGCTGACAGGATTTCGGCATGTTAACTTATTATGGCCTTTATTAAGCCTAGAGGCTGGCCTTTTTTGTTTATATTGGTCCTGACGCTTCAATTACTCAGCTCAACTAGTCCTATGACCTATTTGAGTGACATTTCATATTTAGCCTAAACAATGCCCCCATGTGCTAATAGCTAATAACATAAGCCACATGGCACGTTTGAAAAAGTTGAAATATCACTTCATTTCTGAGCGCCCTTTGTTGATATAAACTCATTTCTTTTTTTTTCTGGTCACTTCTCTTACCCTTTCTGTCGTTTCTTAAACTTCAAGCATTCACTCTTTCATATTCCTCTTACCTTTGCTCTCAAATGGCTTCCTTCACTTCTGCCACTTCTTCTATTGTTGCTCTATCTTCCACCTCCGCTGGGAGTCTGCTTGATTTTCTGGCGATTATCCAGAATCTCGTTACCCCACTCGACAGGTTTGTGATAGTATGTATTCAGTAGTTTGAAAATCCTTTTTTCCTTTAGATTGGTTCCCTATTCTAATAATTGTTCATCTCTTTGTAGAAGGATTTATCATTCCACGAATCAGTGGCTTTCTGGTAAGTTTCTCGCTTCTCACGTTTAGCCTTTCTATTTTATTAGAAAAGTATGTTACCTATGCATTGTTTTTTTCAGTACTTCTCTTTGGAGCTTTTAAATCTCTAATAAAAGTGACGTCAGGTACCTGACCATCTCTCCCAACTTGTCCGAAGTCACAGCCCTTACTCAGTCAAATATATGGCCACTGACCTCCATTCGCAACTTGGTCTTAGCTCAAACAACTTTACCTTTCTTGAGTCGTCCTAAAGAAAACTTAGGAACTGGCCTCGGTCTTCTCACACTTGGGTTAATTGGGTGAGGCACTTGAAGTTAGAATATGCACCTCAGTGGAAAGAGATAGGTTTGTACAACCTAATCCAGCTATCCCTGGCTAACATTGATATCCTTGTCGAGCTTCTGACGACCTTCTAAAGTTTCTGGGCTCTGGGCTACAACGTCTTCATCTTTGAGGTATCTCTATTAAGCCCACTTTCATTGAAGACGTAATTTTTAGGTCCTTGTTAAGGCAACTAAGAACTTCTTATGTCTCACGACTTTTCATTTTAGAGGCGGCACGTTGCTAGGTAGTGTAACGAACGTACTTAAGCCCTTAGCGGCTTTTGGCTTTGAAGGAAGCTCTGTGTTGCTTTCTGATATTGTTAATAGTGGTAAAGGTAGGCTATCAAGGCCTACGTCCCAACTGTTGGTGTTCTTATGAATAGTTCACCTGCTCCTGGGGGCGCTGAGTACTTTACGAAGAATTCGAATTCGCCAGACAGTTCTCCTAGGCAGTCCCAGACCAACTTAGATCCATCTAGCTCTATCATTATTAATCTCCCTGGGCTAATATCCCATCTCGAGGGTCGTTTGCTATTTCCCTTCATTTTCTGCTGGTTGCCTTCATTCTGGGTTTCTCCCAAGCAGTCCTAAACTTCCTTAGAGTCGTCCAGGCTTTTGATGCTCTGATCTTCTGGGCCCACGTCCTATCTAGAAGACTTGTTCCTGCTAGACCGACTCGTAGGTTTCCCCAAGTAGTTCCATACTATCTTAAAGTTTTCTTGAGTCACTTTATCCCTGCTCCAGATGTTCTAGGTTCTCCCATCTTTCTACCTACTATCACTTTTCCTGAGTCATCTATTGCCAAAGTTTATCTCCACTATGTTGACTGTGGCAAATGGTGGGAATGGGTCCTCGTCTACAACCATGGACTCTTTCTTAGAGAATTTTAGAACTCCCTTATTGATTCGGTCCTAAATGACATTCTTGAATTCCCAACACGCCTTGGTGTTGTGACTCTACGAATGATGGTACTTACAGTATTCTTTCCCTCTCTGTTCTTCCTTTGAAAGGATTTTATGATCAGTGGGCAGAGAGATAAAGTTTTCTTTGAGGAGGAAATTAAAGATTTCCTTTGTTTTAGTGGTATCAATGATGTACTGGATTGCGTTCAACCTTTTGAGAAGCTCTCTGGCCTTCCTTATCAGAGCGGGGCATGTGTAGTTGACAGCATTCCTTAGTTTCGCCATCGCCATGTCTAGGTCTTCAAAATAAGTTCTTGCCATAGTCCGTCGATGATGGTCATCTTCCTTGAGTAGTTCCTCATAACCCCATACTTTGGCACAAGTTCATAAAAATCTCAAAATTCCATCTCTTAAAATTTCTTTTAGAGTTCTATATCCAGTCCTGCTTGTGTCAGCTTGACGAATTTAGTTTCTAGAAGCGACATATGGCACTTGCTCCTCAAACATTTAAACCTTATCAAGTATTGGTCCGCCATCTCTCTGGCTTGTTGTGTGAGTTTGCAGAGTTCTGCTATGCTGACCTCCAGCTCAACCTTATAGAACTAGATATGGAACTTCTGCTCCATTTCATCCAATTGATGATTGAGTTACGGGGTATTGACGTATACCATGTGAACGTCGGGCCCATGAAAGTATTCAGGAACAATCTCAGCTTTAAGTTAGTGAAGTTCTTATAGTTAGCAATCTTGCCATATTGGATTGTGAACCTTCCAATGTGCTCCAGTGTCGACTACATTCCATCCCTTAAGAACAATGTGAAGTTAGGGATCCTATATCCCCGAGGTTATGGGTTGTCTTTGTCTATATATTCTGGATATGGTTTTGAGAGGGTGGGGTGGCTGATTGGCCTCAGCCCTGGTCTATATATATCCTGAATGGCGTCCCTCAGGGCCTCCATGTTTACCAGTTGGTTTTGAGGCTCGATTTGACGCTCTGGGATCATTGCCGTACCCCCCGGGCCACTCGTGTTGGGTTCCTATAAATAATACAAAGGATTATTTAAAGGATGAGTATGAGCAAATATTTTGGGGTTAGGGATGTCTCATACAAGTGTACGGCCCCGATGGCTAGCACTTATATTGATTCCTACTTGCTGCCCTCCAAGCGGCCCTAAACTCGACCCTGCTTCTAGAGGAGTGCCTCTCAATAACACGGCTATGTTCTTCATGCTGTTATGCAGAGCCTGCATCATGATCTGCTGTCGTTCTTTCTCCCTGTGTTCTGATGTTTTCAGGGATAATCCAAAGAACCTTTGGTTCTCTTCCAGCTACTTATCCATTCGGTCTTGAATTCCCTACAGCACTTTTACCATAGGTCCATTGGATATGATCAGTGGGTTAGGTTGTCTACTTCCTAACTTTAAGCCAGGGCTCGTGTTGCTGCTACCTGTCATCATTAGTACTACATGGTCACGATGTTTAGCTGCTTCAGCGTCAGGCGATAAGTGTTCTGACCCTGCGTGCGTAGAGGTCCCTTCTGGTTTGTGAGAACCAGCGCCTGTTTCATCATTCCTTTTGTCTTTTTACATCTTTGCCATCTTTGTTACACAGGTCCCACCGGCGTGCCAAAAATTGTTTGTGGTGAATAAAAAATACCAGGCGTGCCAAAGACGCTGAGTCTCAATTGATAATAAAAGGGTCTCGAGCTTTCTTACCACAGTTTACTCGGATGTAAAAAGATACAAGGCTTTGGTAAAACAAGTGTTCGATTGTTATTGAAATGTAAAAAAATTACAGACCTAAAACTGAGAACCAAAAAGGGCTAACAAATGTAAAATTGCAAGTCATTGATTGAGTGTTAACTAGTTTCTTCTGTATTTTCTTCTTCTATTTATAGTGTTAGAGTAGCGGTAGCATCCTCCTTGAAACCTAGCACGTTTTGTTGAAGAATCAAGGATCTCGCGAAACTTATGGCACGATCTTTATTCCATATTCTCCATTTTGGTAACCAGCCCGTTTCATCGAGATACTTGGGCATAAATTTCAACATTACTTAAGATTGTGTCTTTGGGCCAACAGTCTAATATTTGCAATTGATGAGATTTCAGCATGTTAACTTATTATGGCCTTTATTGAACCTCAGCGCCGGCCCCTTTCATTTATATTGGGCCTAATGTTTCAATTACTCAACCCAACTAACCCTGTGACCTATTTGAGCAACGTTTCATATTTATCCCAAACACAAGTGAAGCGAAAATAGAAACTTATTAATAACAACAAAAAAAGAGAATGAAATAATTGAGAGTATATATACTAAAATGCTTTTTATTATCAACTAAATCAAATCAAATAAAATATAAAAAATAATAATTGAAAAATACTGAAAAATTAAAAAATATGATTATATTATTACATTCACAAAATCCTCTAATATTTGCAATAAATTTAAATTAATTTCGTTATCAATCAATCAAAATATCAAATCATTGCGCGAGTATCTAAATGGCAATATCTTTGTTCTTTTTCCTGGTTCATTGGCATTGGTAATAGCTGCTTTAGTGACGACCACAGCAACAAGTAGTACAGAGCCACATTTTCCTTTCTCTCCACTCTCTCGTTATCAACTCACTCCTCGACTCGCAGCGCCGGCGTCATCGTCTTCGGAGAAGGCACCGGTCGTAGACTTCCAGTAACCTACTGTTCTTCTCTTTCTTTGTATTCATGATTTAGTTTTGTTTGCTTTCGGAAACATGATATCTCTCTGATTCTTATACCATACTTTTCTAGTACTTGTTAGCACTCAGATGAATCTCTCTACCTTTTGTGATGGCTGGTATGTGGGAAATATTTTCTATCTTTGAAGAATTTGAAAGTACTTGGAAAACAATCTTAATTCTCTAGACGACGGATGATCAAGTGTCAGTTTTTTTTTTTTTTTTATCGGAAGTGAAACACACTCAAAACGAATTTGATGTATGCATCAGGAATATTACTTTTTAGAGCCCTCAAAGATGGAGATGGGGAATTTCTTGTTTCACATCATAGTATTTCTTCACTTCACTTGAGGAATTTGCTGAATTATGAACGCGACCTGAAATCAGGCGCTTTTTTTTCCCCCTTTAGGTTTTGGTTTTCAAAAGAGAATATTCATGATCTGAAGTTCATAATTTTCATATTAAACCAGTGGTTTCTTTTGGCTTGTTTTCAAGTACGTGCTCAATTTCTATGTTTGCTTTCAAAGCTTGATTTCATTTGATACCTTCTTCAATTTGAATTGAATAGGTGCGGTTATTGGGGACCTCCGTAAGGTGCAGGAGTGCTATGGATACACATGATTGGAGGGCTCAATTACTGCCTCATATTCGCCAAAGCAAAGTCGATGAAATGTAGGTCTAAATTCTCTATTTGATTAATAAGATGGTCTGAGTAGTATCTGCTTTGAGACGTCATCTGTGCAAACTGTTGATGCTGTCTTAACATCCCCCCGTTTGTCATGGACGCTTAAATTTATTTCATCACAAAACATATATCATTGAATCCATGGTAAAGGAGCTATAACAGGCATTGCATGTCATTGTCAAACCCATCGAACCACTGATTCTTCTATTTGCTGGTTCAGGAACCATATTACTTGATGTATTCAATTTCTCTTGACACGCTAGTGTTTTCCATTTATAGACAATGCTGGACATTTCTATTTCAAACTTTCAATGCTGTATGTGAGCTCCATTCAAGATTTCTAGAAGGCAGTGTTATCTTATCTTTACCCATAGCCTTGGTTAGGGGACTAGGAACTATTTTGGTGTTCTATATATTGTCGTTATGACCTTGAAAGCTGCTGATATTTGTTGTTACATTTCACTTTGGCCCAAAATATTTGGAATAAAATGTGTGTTATATGCCTATCTTGTGTGTGAACTAGATAAGTTTTAATGGATTTTGGAAAAGGAAGACGTTTATAATTGTCAGGTGCTAGGATGATGACACAAGTCTTCAACAATCTACTCCAGATGACATGTTTGCTTACCATTTATTTTCAATAAAACGAAAAACCACCCAAAAAAACACAAAACAAAGGGGCTGGACGCTTACATAATGATCATGTTTTTTCATTTGACCGTTGTATGTTGTCCTCAACTTGATTCCATGTCATTGTAAAACAACTCTTCGTTTTGTAGAATGAGTACATTAAAATTGTATCAGTCTCATGATGGTGATGATGGTGAATTACTTGAAGTTCTAAAAAGTGCACAAGGTTTTGAGCAGAAGACTTATGCTGGTGCAGCTAGCCAGGTACATACGCCAATAATGTGTAATCTCAATTAATATAATAATTTGTGGTCATCTATGCAGATGGGTGAATCATGATGTAAGTATTGTTTTAACAGGGTCAACTTTAGCAGTGGCCCACTTTTTTTTTTACGCTGTCATGTGCTGATTTGCTGTGATGCTAATTTTCTAACATTTTGGCATTTCCTAATTTCAGGAAGATTACTTACAGAAAATATCCTCAATGTTGTTAATAAGTCAAAGTAAGTCCCAGAATGTCAATGTCACCATTATGCCATTGGATTCAGTTATTGACCCATTTTAGATTTTGGAGGTTTTCAATCCTAAAGCCTTTGAGCTCATTGTATTGGTTGAATGTTCAGGGTCTACTCTGACTTTATTCTTAGCAATTCAGCTATAGCATTCCACTAGCAAAAATTTCAATTTGTAACTTCTTTTTTGTTTGATATCATATATAGAATGTTGGCCAAGTTATATGATATTTTCCTTTAACTTTGATCTCAAAAAAATACTTTTTGTATTTCATTTGAATACCATCCAAATTTTGCGCATTTGCATTGTAATTTTGTCTTGGATAGAAGTGCTTTTCTGTCATAGTAATTTATTACTGTTTTGATTTGATGTTATTTTTTTTTTGTCTTCTGTGCTTGTAACTATGCTACTATTGTTTTTCCATTGACAATCAGATATGATTTAAGTACTCTGTTATTGATTTCTCAATCTAAATTTGTTAGTATGAATAATTGGAGAGGTACTCAAGTTGGATGATCCTTTACAGAGTATTGGAGGGCTGGACTGCACCCTGATAGTCGCCGAAGAATCGTCAACAAAATGTATAAATTTTTATGTTGTTTTACTTTGGTCATATATTTCATGATGGGGGAAAATCATATGCCACGCATCATTAGAGTTCTTCTATTTTTTATTCGGAATTAAATTGATAACCAGCTTAAGATTGATGCTCAAGATTATGTTTTGTAGCTGAGGAACTATAAAACATAATTTTTCTTATGATTATTGAATTGTATTTTTTGCATGCTTTATGTATCTTGAACTTATTTTTAAATTAATTTTGTTTAAGAGGTCCCCCCACCATTGGATATTTGGGAGCTTTCTGATATACTTATTGTTATGTGTTTTTTTTTTTTTTGGGTTATATTCTGCTTCTTGTTTGGTGTAGTTAGAGGACTTCTTCGTTGGCCAAAAAAAGAAAAAAGGTTAGAGAAATTCTTATTATATGGTGTTTTTTAATTGTGGAGAGGGGAGCATTTTAAGACGCAAAAGAGATAATCTCTTCCCATTAGGAAATTCATTTTATGGTATCCATGTATAACTCTGAACTGAGCTTGATGAGTCCATGCTTTTATGTTTGCTTTTTGGTCCTTTTTGATATTAAAATGGACATGAAATGTTGTTATAAGGAGAAGTAGTATTTGATACTATCATCATTTATATTTCTAATCAAAATCTAAAATTCTGTGCATTTTCTTTGGAAAATGTGAATGGCATGAACGGTGCCTTGTGATCATGCTTGTTATTTGGAGGACTGTCTAATGCTATATGCTTCCCTGAGTTATAGTAATTAAACTGGTGTTATTCACCTTGTAGATTGGAAACATTAAGAAGACATCTTCCTGTTTCTGGCCAAGAGGGATTAGATGGACATCGTAAAATTGCTGCAAGATTTGAGAAGGTTTATAATGCAGCAACAAGTCAGGTAGAGTCATCACAGTTTTACTTCTGACAGCCCTCTTGGTAGATCATTCTCATCTGAGCAGATGAATTGTGATAGAAAGTTGAGCAGTAGTTTAACTTTGTCTTGTAGCATATCATGGATTGCCATGATTTCTTACATCTCTAACATTTCTTGATTTCAGCCTGATAATCTTCGGAGAATATCACTGAAGATGCTGTTAATGGAAACTAGAGGCCAAAACACCATAGCTAACTCTATTCCCTCAAACTTTGGTGACAATAAGGGTGGATCTTCTGATACAGGTATCGGCATTCAAAAGCCTCATGGTCTGATCTGTTTGCTACAAATAGCCTATGCAAGGTCATGAGCTGATAGTACTTTCATACCTTTTTTTTTTTTTTTGGTGTCAGAATACTTTGATGTTTTGATCTGTGAATAAAACTTAATGAGAACTAAGCTAATGATGTTTGGTTTTATGGTGCATGTTAGGGCTGCACAAAAGACTGGACGGGACTGGACTTTAGCCTAACCCGGAGTCTGGTCCTTTTTATGAAAAGGATTGGGTTAGGTAACCCGTAGTCTGGTTTGGTCCTGTGAAAACCCGGAAATTAACAAGACTGGACTTGGTCCATAGGACTGGGAGATTGGCCCTATTAGTCCAATACTCACTTGGCCTTTTTTTTTTTCTCTATGATGACCAATAATCTATTTCAACTTAACAAATTCAATTAAGATAATAAAAACACTTATAATCATAATAAATCCATAATAATTTCTAACACCAAGAAAATAATATTTTAGTTACAGTCCAAACTCCAAATAATTTAAATACATAACTTCAATAAAAAATCATAGGAAAGACCAAAAATAGACTAGAGGAAAAAAATCAGCAAGAACAGAAGTAATAAAAATCAGCCCATAGACATGTTCCTTTAAAGTTCGAATAGATCAAGATCAGAGTGCAAAGTGCAAGGCAAGGGCTAGGGCTTTGGTGCACTGAAGAAATTAAGAATGAGAGCAAAGTTGAGTGAGTGGCTGAGACGCTAAGTGCTGTTGAGTAACAGTGTTGAGTTTTTTTTTCGATCAGAGTGCAAAATGCAAGGCAGGATTAAGATTTTTTTTTCTAAGGCTTATTAATTAATAATTTATAAATTAATTTTAATTATATTAAAATAATTATATAGGACCAAACCGGACCACTTAGTCTAGATGCTTGGTTTCTAGTCTGGTCTTACCCAAAAAATTAGTCCTGTCTTTTTGGTCTTTTTGGTCCTATAAGACCAGCATTTTACAGGACTGGATAGGACCGAATTTTCATGGGTCGGACCAGACTGAACGAGACTACGAGACTTTTGCACAGCCCTATGGTGCATGAGTACTATTTATTAACTTTATGAAAGAAACTAACATTTTCCAATTTATTAAGTTTTATCATTAGAACTTAATGGTCAAGATCAAGCTATTTAACATATTGAGAAATGTTGACCTCTTCTCGAAATATCACTTTGGGTGAATGAAGTTACGGATCCACCTGTTCCGCGTCCTCATTTGACTTTTTTGGACAATAGTTAAAATTGGTTTTAATTCAGGTCAAATAGCTTCAAGCAGCAGGACATCCTCATTGCACAATATGGATAGAAGAGTGGGTAAAGGATGCAGACAAGGAGATGAAGTGATAATGCTCATTGCATGAACATGAGAAATTTTTGGTCCGAAAATTGTTGGATGCCTAAACTACCAGTCAATTAGCATTTTCTTTTTTTAACTTTTTACATGGTCAAAACAAAAATTATTGAAGTACTTTGAGTGTTTACAAGATCAGTGCAAAATTTTTTTGCAAGTTTTATGAACGTTTTTGTCATGCGCAAGAGCATTGGGGATTCAATTTATTTCTTTGATTGGGCTGAAGGACCGGTTGCCACAAGCCAATTTCTTTGTGGAAATGTGTCATATATATATATATATATATATAGTCGCTGTTGTAAATGCTTTAACGTTGTTGTTAATGTCTAAATTTAGTATTATTAACAAAGTTGTATAATAACTAGATTTATTAGCTGTGATGTCGATGTTTTGGAAGCTTTTGTAAATTAATTGTGTTGTAAGGCCAATTTTGGATTTCATCACTTGATATACATGGTGCTGGCTTGTACAAAAAGGATCGGATGTTATAAATTAATGAAAGTTAAATTAACTTGTTTCCTATATATTTTAAGTGCACACATTATATGTATGAGATAATAGATTCTCTATTATTGAATTATAGGAATATTTGATATATTGTACCTGGACGACATAAAAGGGACAACATGCTTCTTGAAAAGTAAACCCACATGCAATAACATGCGTGCATTCAAAAGAATCCAAGTACAAGGAAAGAAAAATGAAAAACGTGTGCCACAAATTGTTAAGGCCACTGAGTCACTAATTAGTCTTTAAACATATCGTTAAACACGCAACTTAGATTTGTGCCGCTGGATCGCTAAAATGTGATCACACACACACACACACACACATTTACATACACCTTAATGGGACTTTATATTGGACTGAATCAACATTACGATACTATGGCTGCTGATTGATGACACACATATCAAGACATTCTGTTTTTGGCTTTTTATCACTCATGCAAAGTGGCCGCAGCATTTTGAGTTTTCAATGTTTTTTTAACGGTAAGGATTTAAAATGCCTCTCAATTAAGCGAAAAGGGTCAAGATCACCCCTGAAGTTAAAAAATAGTTATTTATATCCGTCAACCGCTAAGATTTTTCATTCCATCACCTTATTATCTATTCCGTCAAATTTCACTATTAGTGAAGCCTGCATTTGAATTTTTTAATATTTTTAGTTGGTCCCACCATTTTTTTATAGGATTAAGGGTCAAATGCCCCTCAACTAAGCAGAAAAGGGCCAAAGTCACCTCTAAAATCAAGGGTCATTTATGTCCTTCAATTGCTAAGATTTTTTATTCTATTACCCTATCATTTGTTTCGTCAAAATTCACCTTTGGTGGAGCTCACATTTAAATTTTTAATATTTTTAATGGGTCCCACCATTTTTTATATTTTTAGTAAGTCTCCTCAAGGTTTAGGCCACACTTTCGAGCGAGTCTCGGTTCAAGCTCATAAAAATTTAAACTTTATATCATGGCTCTCCAATTTTTCTATTGTAATTCCTCACCTTACCTTCCTCACCTTACCTTCAAATCTGCCATGGCTAATTAAATGGTGCCAAAACTCCGCCAACTATTGCAGGAACATGCTTTCGGTGCACTCCTCAACCTGGTCATTCACGATAATATCAAGACTGCAATCGGCATGTTGGGTGCTCTGCCGCCGCTACTCCACTTGCTTCAATACAAGAATGAGTGAATGAGAGGGAATGAAGGGGGGGGACGTGAGAGAGAGGGGGGGGAGAGAGGTATTTTTAAAAAAATTATAAAAAAATAAAAAAAATTAAATGTGGGCCCCACTAATGGTGAAAATTGACACAATAGACAGTCATGACAGAGTCAAAAATTTTAGCAATTAAGGAATATAAATGACGTTTTCTTGACTTTAAGGGTGACTCTAATTTTTTTTGCTCAGTTCAGGGGCATTTTAGACTCTTAACCTTAAAAATATAATAAAAAAATATATAAAGTTGGTCCCCCTATTACATTTTATTATTAAAAAATATTTAAAATATTTAATAGATAATTAACGCCAAGGGCATGGAGGAAGCAAAATTCTAAGACTGAGGGATAAAATTGACCTCAAGCACTTTCTTCCCAACTCCGATTTGGGGGAAGAAAAATAAAAGAAATAAAATAGAAACAGAGATAATGAAAAGAAAAAAATTATAAAAAAAATTATCACTCATCTATATATATATATATACACACAATAGAAGAATAACAAGCACATTTCTATGGATGACAAATGTCATTTCTTTAAATACTACAATTTCAGAAAGCCACATAAGATTTTACTTGCAAAATTATTTTTAATTCATAAATATAATTTATTTTTATTCCATGATTTCAATAACTTTTTAACCCATGATTTAATAATTTTCTAATCTCACGCTTTCACTTTTAGATATGGTTAGTTATTTAGTATTCTATCATTTTAATAACTTCTTTACTCTACAATTTAGTTTGTGATTTTTTTTTAATTCATGCATATAATTAAACTTAAATATGGATAGTTATTTAGATTATTCATTTCAGTAACTTCTTAACCCATGATCTAATAATTTTCTAACCTCAAAATTCATCTTTTAGATATGGTTAGCTATTTAGTATTCTATTATTTTAATAACTTTCTTGCTCTACGATTTAGTTTGTAATTTTTTTAATTCGTGCATATAATTAAATTTAAATATGGATAGTTATTTAGATTATTATATCATTCTAATAACTTCTCAGATCCACGATTCACATAGAATTTGGTGAGAATATAGATATATATATATATATATAATAGATAAATAAGAAATAATTTTTCAAGTTTGACACGTATGAGTTTTTTTTAAAAATATTACAATTCTATGCTATCCACATCATCATTAATTTTTAAAACTATTTTTTCTAATTTATAAGATTGCAATTTGAAAATATAACTTCTCTCCCATGATCTCAAAATCTTAAATATAATTTCTCAACTAATTCAAAATTCAAAATTTTATTTTTAAAAATTTTATCCTTAATATTCTCTCTCATAATTTCAAATATAACTTCCCAAATATTGCCATTTTGTGAATAATTTTGAATTGATATAATAATTTTATGAATAATAATTTAAATAATTTTATTGCAAATTAAATCATATAAATAAACAAATAAAAACTGAATTATAAACGTATGAATTAATAAAATAATTACATTAAATTCTTTATATGTTATTAATTAATATAATTCTCATTTATAATTTAATTAAATATATATAATTTATGAAATAAGTAATTAACAGATAATTTCCTAACCCCACGATTCTTCTTTTTGATATGGTTAGTTATTCAGTATTCTATCATTCTAATACATTCCTTGCTCTACAATTTAATTTGTGATTTTCTTTATTCATGCATATAATTAAATTTAAATATGGATAGTTATTTAGATTATTCATTCCAGTAACTTTTTAATCCATAATCTAATAATTTTCTAACCCCACAATCCCTCTTTTAGATATGGTTAGTTATTCAATATTCTATCATTCTAATAACTTCATTGCTCTATGATTTATTTGTGATTGTTTTAATTCATGCATATAATTAAATTTAAATATGGATAGTTATTTAGATTATTTTATCATTCTAATAACTTCTTAGCTCCATGATTCACATAGAATTTGGTGAGAATATATATATATATATATATATATAAAATAGATAAATAAGAAACACTTTTTCAAGCTTGACATGTGAGTTTTTTTTAAAATATTATAATTCTATGCTATCCACATCATTATTAATTTTTAAAAATAATTTTTTTTAATTTTTAAGATTGTAATTTGAAAATGTAACTTCTTTCCCATGATCTCAAATCTCAAATATAATTTCCCAACTAATTCACTATTTAAAATTTTATTTTTAAAAATTTTATCCTTGATATTCTCTCACATGATTTCAAACATAACTTTCCAAATATTTCCATTTCATGAATAATTTTGAATTGGTATAATAATTTTATGAATAATAATTTAAATTATTTTATTGCAAATTAAATCATATAAATAAACAAATAAAAACTGAATTAGAAACGTATGACTTAATAAAATAATTACATTAAATTCTTTATATGTTATTAATTAATATAATTCTCATTTATAATTTAATTAAATGTATATGATTTATGAATTAAGTAATTAATGGATATTAAGTTAAATTCTAATATTTAAATTAAATACAATAACAAAATTTTCTTGATATTTTAATGTGTCATCTCATGCAAACATGTCAAGGATAAAATGAAATTCTTATTTATGAAAATTATGTTATTATATTTATTTTAAATAATGCATCAATAATAATTATTAGTTAACCTTTATAAAAACAAAAATATGTTTTTTAGAAGGCTGCGCACATGACAAGTGTGTTTTTGTTGTTGAATGCTTCAAAGTAAAAAATTTATAACACTCTGAAAATTATATTTTTGTTTTTATAACTTTTAAAGGAAATTAGAAAAATATTCTAGAAGCGTAAAAATTGAAATATTGTCTGAGGTTTTTCTTATAAATATCCCACCCTATGTCTCCTCATGCTGTTCCAAACAAGCCTACATCACTTGAGATGGTTTTGCAGGACGAAGCTATGTGTTGCATTCTAATGTTTTGAATATTCTATAATTCATTTAATAGATTAATTGATTCTTTATAAAACCTTATTTTTATATTTTCTACTGGCATTTTCTTTTTCAAGTGTTACATGGGTTTTATTATCTATGACTGATCTACTCATTGATGAAAAAAACACACCTTCATTTACCTCCCTCGTATATATATTACCTCATGTTTAAATGAATTGTTGAACATTCATTTATGTTAAATATATTGTATATTATATATGATGTATTTCATTTGTGTATGTTATAATTTCATGCCTATGTCTCTTTTAGTACACTCACATCCATTATATTCAGGAAATGTTTTCTACATGTATATTTAAATGAATGCATGTGTATGTGTGTTGATTGAATACTGGTGTAATTCCAGTTTAAAATATGATCGAGAACTAAATGTAGTCACTTTTTTTAATAGGAATTTGAATCTTAGTTCATCATATTATGACTTTATTTATATTGTAATTTTTTTTATTGCAATACCATCATATATTTTTAATTATTTTAAAATATACTTCTGATTATAACTTCATTTAAATAATCTCATTCAGTAATGCAAGTTGAATTAAAAATTATTATAATTCTTATAAGAGGACCCGTGTATTGTACGGGTGAAATACTAGTTGTATTTAAATAGAAGAGAAAACAAAAAAAAAGTAAATATGGTAATAATTATAATACCCCTATATCAAAGTATATCAAGAAACTGAATTTCATACCCGAATTAAAAATTA